ACTCCATGCCACTTGATATCCACTCCAGTTAAAGATCAACGATGTTCTACGTAGGTCGCGCAAAGGCCCTCGATCCCCCCTGGAGGCTTCTCCTCTCGGTATCGCTGCCGCAAGAACATCACACATACTATGGGAAAAAAGCACCAGCCTGAGCTTGCCCCGTTGCATTGAGATCATGGATCCTGCGAGTACGATACTCTGTTGACAAATCCAAACCGCAGGTGAACTTTACGACTTCACTCACCATCAGGCCTAAAACATTGAAACGGTCGTGTTGGGCATCCACCAGTGGGATATGCGCGCTTCCCCATGTGCCATCACCTAAAGTCCGCTTGGATCCGTACACCTATCCTCATAGTCCCGTTCTCCTCTTCCCACTCAAACTCCGCTTCCCTTTCAAATAGCTCCTTGACCGGTTGTGCACCATGTTATTGGCTTGAACGCACCAGCTGCAGCCGAACACCAATCCCGTCTTTTCCCCATGAAGACTGCCTCGAATCTAGGGCACCCATTTGTAGCGCTCTTGAAATAATGACACAAAACACGTCATCTTCACAAGAGGTTTATGGCATGGTTCTAGCGTGGCGTTGAACAGGTGATAGTTGTGGAAAACTGCTTGTGTTCGAAGCACGAGAGATTCGAAACTAGAGACGACAAGAGATATAAGCGCTGAACCGGCGCAAGTCATGTCTCCAGGTCCAAAGAGTGGACCCGAGAGGAAAGAAGGGATAAGCGCTGGCCTATTCAATGTCTGTCGACTGCGAAAAGGTCGTCTCAAAACGAGACGAAAGACAAGCGCCACGGGTCTCAAATCAATGTTTGGTGGGGTACATAACGACTCGAAGTTCTCCAAGGAGGCTATCATAGCCAATGATACACACGATGCAGCAGGGGAAAACGTAAAACTCTACAGGACGAATACCAATAATACCCATAAATGCCGTGGACGCCCGCATCGATGTCACGATTGAACAAATTACCAAATAGTCTTACCATTGACGCCGCAGTGTGTTGGGAATCACACCCACGACGCATCGTCAATGTAAGCGACTTGTAACCCTATCTGGCCACAAATTTTTAGGCTTGCGTACATGCCATACCCTCGTGACAAGACCTGGTCAGGAACCGGCCATTCGACGCTCCTAGATGTACAAAATTCAGGCAGTTTCATGATCACGAGTTTGCTGTTCAAAATTA